TAGCACAAAAGGCCTCGGTGAGATTTGCTTGAAGATTCACGCAGTTGCCAGATCACAGAAATTAAAAATCTCCATATTCCCAATCTTTGAATTTGAATAGAATTCCCATATACCTGTTTAACAGATGAATTTAATTGATGGCACGTAAATTTAAAAATTATTGCTTGAGATGTTTGGGACTGGAGTCTAGAATTTCGTTCGAACTGATGATGTCAGGGATCAGAGATAAATGAATCTAGCATAAGAATATGATTTTGTCAGTTAGTGTAACGAATGATCTCTTCCTCTGGGTGATTCCCACAGAATTAGCTTTTATATTCCCCTCTGGATGAGCAAAGGGGAGGTAAAGAAATGGGAATTCCAGAGACGTGAGTCGTGGCAACCCCGCATAGATCCATAGACCACGGAGAAGGTAAAAGAGGATGGGGAGAATGTGGATAATGGTGAACAGGAGACAGACCAAGAATTATAGCAGCTGATGTATCGAACGAAAGGGAAAGGAAAAATAGTGGGGACCACTGGAGAAAGCCTGTGAAAAAGTATAATGAGAAGGGAAAGTAATTGGATATCCCATTGATCATTTGAATCACTCAGATAAATACGGGAGGCACAATAAAGGTGTATGGCAGACAGCTGACGTCAAGATTGGTCCCTCCCACTCCATTTACCCTCTCTCGTCTCCTTGGCCTTTTGCTTTTCTAACACACGTGGCTCAGGATCCATGATACGACCATGAACTTGCCTCCACCGTTCGCCACTCGGTCAGTCATTATTATTGACTCACACAGCCCAAGAAAGTGGCCAACATGTACATTGACACAACCAAGGACATTTCATATTTACAGTAGTTACCTAAACTCATCCACGAGCCGATCGCACGAGGCCAGCTACGTTTTCACGCTTGAATTATGCTTTTTTTTCCTATTTATTTATCTCGACAAATATTATTCAATGGGCTTATCTTTATGACTTTTTTAGGGTTCCACTGGGTATCTTTAAATTATAAATAGAGTTTTACTTGAGAGGATAATGTATGCTTTTATACGGAGTGTATGGCCAAGACTAGAGTCTATTTTATGGAATGGAAATCGAACAGGAATTGTCTATCGATTTCGGAAACTTTTTGGAGCAGGGGGAATTAATATTGTTGCAGTATCTAATTGGAGGTGATGATAAATTTTGTCGAGCGGTCCACTCACCTCTGAGACTTGGTTTCTTCGAATCCTCTATCTTAGGTGGAGATCGACTCGTTGGCAATCGGCTGGGAAAGGCGAACATTGCGATGCTCACCAGCATCAGCATCGCAGCAATCAGAACTAAACCTGGAAGATGGATACAAAGATTGATAAAATTGATCGATAAATTTCTCCACTCCCGTCACTATGACAGGATTAAACGAGATTTTTAATAGCCACAAACTTACCGAGCCACCAAGCACCGACCCATCGGGGATCAGTGGGTGTGATCTGAGGATCAGCAGCGAGATCAACGTAGAGCATGGTGCATAGTGATCCGAGGATAAAACCAAGAGCAGGACCGAGAATCCTTACCCCTATTGTAATCGCTGAAATGCAGAATATTTTGTTGCACAAATCAAGAGACTGTGGGTAAAGTGAGACGGTGGAACCCGTTTTTTTCGGGCTCCCTGATGCTTAGCCAGCCATTAAAGAAACGATGAAGAATTAAAAAAAAAATATATATATATATATATGTGTATAAATGGCGGGAAGAAAAAAATATACACCAAGTGGTTGGGAATGCCAGAGGGACGGTTATTTACGCCAACTCACCGAAATACAAAGGACTCTCGCGGGATGCAACGTTGTCGTCTATGTATGGTATACCCAGTGTGTAGACCGCAGTTTGTCCCATACCAACTCCCAGGAGGGAGACAAAAAATATTGTCAGTACCACTGCTGTTATCTTACTCTGAATTAGTTGATCATCCAGGAATTCACCCTCGCAATACTTCGTTGCGTCTGTCCTAACATGTGAACTTGTTGCTCCAATCGTTCTGCAATATCAAAATCACTTCTTCATTTGCATTCTTTGATTTATAGTATTATCATTGGTGAATTAAAATTCGAGAGAATATCTATAATATGACTATGATGATTCTTTATTGGGAACATGGAGAAATTATCGCTTTAATGATTTTTTATTCGAAAATTCTTCTGTTTTATGAACAAGTCGGTATTTCGACAGGAAAAAACTTATCAGTCGAATGGGCTGAGAAATTATTCGTGGCAAGCGACGCTATTTTAATATTTGAACAGATGAACAATGAGGGGGAGATGGATAAATCTGAAGAAACATGACGGGAATTCATGTGTTATCTGTTAGGCATGGGAAGTATTAACATTTGTAAACTTTTAAAAATTTGGAATTCCCACATTTCAGTGAATATCTTCATGATTTTCATGTTTTCCTGATACTTTTCTGAAAATTTTGAATTTCCACATCCCATTAACACCTCTTTGATTTTAATGTTCCCCTGATATTTTTTCGAAAATTTTGAATTTGCAAATTTCAGTGATTTCCCTCCTCGATTTTCATGGTCTCCTAATTCTTTTTTGGAAATTTTGAATTTTAG